CCTATCTCATAGTTTTGAGAAGCAAATGACTGTTGTACTGTGCAAACCGCCTGGTGCACAGTGTCCCAGAAATAGCTTTGATGAACAAGACGCGAATTCATTCAAGCTGGTTACAGCGCCCTCGGTGTCAGAGTGGCCCCACTGCGCAAAGGGCACGGTAGTGTGGCCGCCTCCGCGGGTGGCGCGCTTTCTCCCTGCCGCCGGGAGCACTTTGACCACACACACCCCCAGCGCCCCCCAAGTGCGTGCTGTACTAAGACCGTCCCGCTTTATTTCTGGGGAAGCCAGCGCGGAGGGGACTTGCAGACGTCCGGACGGAGCGGGGAGGGAAGGGCCGCCGGCGGCCCGCGCTGTGCATCTTCCACGTGCTCCAGCAGAGGGGTCGCCGGCGGGCTCCGTGTCTTCATAATAGCCGCTTTGATGCCCGCGGCCCTGGCGGCGGCGGGAGGGCAGGAGAGGGGAGGAGAGAGAAGAGGAGGGAGGGGAGGCGAGGCGGGCCGGGAGCCGAGGGAGGGGTGTGTCCGGCCGGCGCGGGAGCCGGGCGCGGGACCGTGGGGTCTTGGGGCCCGGGGAGGCCCCCGCTTCCCGGCCGCCTCTTTGTCTCCTCCAGGAGGGAAGGCGTTCGGCTTGCTCAAAGCCCGGCAGGAGAGGAGGCTGGCCGAGATCAACCGGGTAAGCCCCGCCGCCCAGGGCAGCGTGCGTGTCGCCCGAGCCGCGCGCCGCGGGCCCGCAGTTCCCGGCGCCCCCGGGTGCCTCCCCCGTCCGCGAGGCCGTGCCCGCCGCCAGATCAGCTCCACTTCTTCCCCTTCCCCCGGGCTCCCCCCGATTGCCTCCCTCCGCCCCCAGCCCTGTGGCCTCCGACTCCAGGTAGGTCGGCCTCCACCTTCCAGCCCGGTCCTGGCGTCTCGGGTTGCAAGTGGTTACTCTCAGCCTAGGGAGGTGGGGCGGGCCGGGAGCTCGGATGCCAGCCCGGCTCGGCTCGGAGCTCCCCGCAGGCCCGCTTGGGACCAGGCGCACGGATTTGGCGCGAGAAGGGACCCCCGAGGCCAGTGCTCTCTTCTCTACAGAACACAGGCTCTCGGTTCACTTGCCAATGTCGGCAATTCCTGTGGTCTCCTGCCAACCCCCTTCCTGGCCCCTGAAACACACAACTCTTTTGCTATAACTTTTAGGAACGGTTACCTGAGGGACTTGGTGCTTTTCTTACTGGTCCTGGTGGATTTCTATAAAGAAATCCTTCAGGCTGTTGCCAGGCACGCAATGGGAGCTCCATAAGTTTGCTCAATGACCTTGTAGATTCTAGAAGATAAGGAAAGGTGGCAGGACCTGTCTGGATTGGCCAAAGCGCAAAGGGGGCTTTAGGGTTCTGCAAATCCTGGTCTCAACTCTGGCTTCCATCACCTTTCTGCTCTGTGGTCTGTGGCAAGGACCTTTCCTCTCCAGCAGGGTCACTGTGAGGGTTAAATAAGGGAAGGTGTGTCGTGTGCTTGCTCCGTGGGTGGCACTAGAATTATGTCCTGAGGAGCACTTCTCCCTGTTCCTTCCTGACGGGAGGCAGAGGTGTGTCCACTGAACAAGGCTGGGCATTCTCCCTGCTGGCTCCCTTGGGCCACTAGACTCCCAGGGTCTGAGCCCAGCTTAAAGTCCCAAAGTGGGAAGCTGCTGGGGCTCCACAGAGCCCTGGTGGGGGCTATGGGGAGGTGGTCTGGGGACCAGGGCGTGGTTGTATTTCCTCTCGCCAGTGGCATGCAGTCTTGACCGTCCTTGATTTTCTTGGACTGCCTGGAAATAGGCAGGCTGTCTGTCTTCATCCCACTGGCTATGGAGGGCTCTGGGGACTCAGTTTCCTCCAGGTAAACTCTGGCTCCCTCACTGCCTCCCCACTCTGCCTCCTGGTGCCATCTTGAGCACAGCTGAAAGGTTGCCTGGACATCTGGCTGGGGCCCTCAGGGGTCCAGGCCTGCTGGGCTCCCTCCCATTTCAGTCTCCACCAGGCCGGCCTTCGTCTTGGCTTCTCTTGTCCTCTGGACAAGAGCCTAGGACCCTGACCTCATGCAGCCCCCTGGGCCATTCAGCTGGGCGGGTTCTGAGCTGGCTGAGTCCATCCACAGCCAGCAGGACCCTGAGCCAGAGACAGCTGGAGAGGGGGGTGAGGTGACTGTAGCTGGACAAGCCAGAAGAGCTGAAAGTGCTGGGGACTCTCAGTGCCAACCCCGCCCTTGGGGAGGCAGATAAGCAGGGGAGGGGCTGGAGGCTACAGGGTTGTTTTGGGAAGTGGGCTGGCTTGGCTCAGAAAGGGGAAGGGCTGCAGCTATTAGGGGCTGGTCTAGACACTATTGGGACCAGGGAAAGTGAGCAAGAAGGGGCAGGATTCCCAATGCCCAGAGACAGCAAGCAGCTGACCCAAGGCCTCACTGGAGCCAGTGGCAGAGCTTGCGGTCTCCTGCCCTTTCCCTGCCTGCATGCTATTCTGAGACCTACCATGTGAGCCCAGGCTGCTGGAGGGCTGCTGGGGCCCAGGGTCAGGGCCTCTGGAGAAAGGAGCCTCCAGGATTAAACCAGAAGCTGGAGCTGCTTCCCCACCACAGCAGTTCAAGGCTGGCCCCTCCATAGTTTAGAGTCATGAGGCCGGGGGCAGAGCACTGGTTCTGTTACCTCGGGCAAGCCACTTTACTTCTCTGAGCCTCCCTCTCCATAAGGAGATAATGGTGGTGATTGGTGAGGTCATCTACGTTAAGTACCTAGGAGAGCTGGCTGCTGTCATGGTTGTTATCATTTTTTCCTTTGGGGCCTCAAGGTGCAGGGGGTGGAAACCTGGGATATGCCTGAGACATGCTGTGACCCATAGTGGCTGCTCAGTTGGCCTCGGTCTTCCTGCTAGAGTCAGTGGAGATGAGCAGACAGAAGCTCTTTGCAGACCTGGGGAATCAGTCTGTTCGAGGGTCTGGTTGACCCAAGGCCATGGCTGCAGTGGGTGGGTGGATTCCAAAAGGAGCCCTTTGAGCATCCCGGACTGCCTTCCTTTGGGGTGCAGCTTCACTGCCCCACTGGAATGTGGATTCTGGAGGGCTGGACTGAGTGGCCTTCCCAGTGGCCTCATGGAAGCAGGACAGGCGTCATGACTCACTGCATGGGGGGCGCAAGACTGCTGCTGTGCCTGGGGAAGAGCCCAGCCTGGCTGGCAGCTCTGGGGGCCTCTCTGGGCCAACACCCCGGTTCCCTTTGGGGCCTTTCTCCTCCCCTGGGTGGGCCAGCTTCCAGAGGGCAGCAGGGTAGCTCAGTCTCAGTATTGCTGTTGTACAGGATTCGAGAGTAAAAATAGAAGGGGACTTGGGTGGGCCTAGGGTTCCCGGGGGAGGAAGAGATCCACGAAAATGCAGCTTTTTTTGGCTTCACCTTAGTTTTTGCTGTGGTTTTCTGAGCACTTGGCATGGACTGGCACTGTGCCAAGCATGTGCTGTGGGCGTTATCTTGTTGAATGCTCAACTCTAGCCCCGGGAGGTGGGTACTGTTATTCCTGTTTCACTGACAGCAAGACTCAGGGTTGGGTAAATTGCCCAGGTTTGAACAGCCCAACTTGGACCCAGCCTATTCTCTGTGTTTGTGTGTGCACGCACGTGTGTACATGTCAGCACTACTGGAGTGGGCAGAACTGGCGAGCGCCTCCTACTCCCCCCACATAGCTGACATTCCCGGCACCCTGATGGCGTGGTAGGTGACCCTGGGCCAGCTAGGCCCGGCCTTATATGGCAATGGGAGAAATTTTCTCCTGCTTCCCACAGGGACAGAGAGAAGTGATGGGGCTGGGTGGGCTACCCTTCAGAGTGCCTTGCCCTGGGACCTCGCAGGAGGAGCCCAGAGGACAGTGAGGCTGCTGCTCAAGCTGGTTAGTGGCCGGGATCTTTAACATAATAATGGGAGTTGTGGCTGTGCTCCGTGCCCAGCGCGTGACAGGCACCATCTCACTGACCCCTCTAGACAGAGCACTCCATTAGATAGATGTGCAATGAGACTCTGTAAACATCACCATCAGACCAGGAGTATTATGACTCCCATTTTAGAGATGAGGAAATGGAGGCTCAGCCAGATGAAGTCCCTTGCCCAAGGTCACCCAGCCAGAAAGTGGCAGAGCCGGGATTCAAACCAAGTCTGTCTGACTCCAGATGCTGCCCATGGCCTGCTCTGGCCCCTGTCCACCAGGTGGCTGCAACCTAGCTGTGATGCGGACCTTTCTTGCTTATGTGGATAAGGATCTCTGGCAACTGTCCTAACGTCTCAGCCCTCCTGGATTGAATGAAGGGCACTCAGCATTCCCTGTCGCATTTAGGTGCCTAATGGTTATTTCAGAACCCATCTGTACTGGGAAGAGAGCTGTGTAGGGCAGGCTGGGTATCTCTGACCAGGGGTGTGCATATGTCCCCTGCCCCTACCCCAGCAATGGGGGACCTCTGAGACCTGACCTAGGCAACTACCCAGGTGTGTCTCTTCCTGTGTACCTGGCAGTACCACTCTGTCCTTGCCCAGGTGAATGTGCCCAGTTGGCATTGCCGGGCACCCATCTCTCTTGCTCTTCCTTAATATATTATAAGGAGGATGGTGATAAGTGATCACGTGATTCTCTGAGGATTCAGTGTCCCCTGCAGGTCCGGCCAGTTGTGACCTCTGTGTGGCCATGTCACAGGAAGCTGGAGATGGAATTTCTTCAGGGACTGCTTCATTTATGTTGTTGGCGGGGTGTTTTTCTTCAGCTGCCCCATCTGTTGACGAGGACGTGGCATGCAGATGAGGCCCCAGAGCTGCCACGGGGAATGTGAGCCTGCTGTCCTTGTGGGTGCATGTTACAGCCTCCTGCTACTTGCCAGCCACCAGGCCGGGCGTCTGTGACCTGGTGCTGGCCCTTTAAGAGCCCATGGGCTACGTCAGAGGCCTCACGCCGGGCATGATGCTGCCTGTCCTGTGCTTGGGGTGCTTGCCCAGGGCTGCAACCAGCAGCCCCTTGGATGGCCTCCAAGATGGTGATATCCGCCCACCCCAAAATTCTGCTGCAGTTCATACATAAAGACGAGCCTGGAGGGCCAGGAGCAAGAGTCCACCAGAAGGTGCTAGAGGTACCAGCTCAGAAAGAGAGTAAAGTCAGGGAGCAGCGGGCAGATGGCAAGAATCCAGAGGCCAGGACACAGCAGGGGCTGCCAACCTCTGATGGTTTTGGAAATAGCCCCTCCTGGTCATGAGCACTTGGATGGGGCTCCCCGGGGGATTCCGATGAGCATCAGAGGTTGTAGGTGACAAAGAGAGGTAGCAGTGAGCAGGTGTGGCTGCAGACGCTGTCCCTGGGCCTGGGATGGGAGCACCTCACCCTGTGTGGATGACCTGTCACTGTCAGGTCAGCCAGGAGTCAAGGACAAAGCGAAGCTTGCCCTTGAGGAGGGACGGCCAGAGGTCCAGTGCTCGCCGGAGGACTTCATGGCATAATGTAGGGACAAAGAGGTGTGTGTGGAGGTGCCAGTCAGGTCACTGAGGCCTGCAGACTTGTCCCTCTGCATATCAATAGCCACTTTCAGAGCCTAGTAGTCCCCTGTGCCCAGACCTATTTCCCCCACCCCAGCAAGTTTTTGCAGCCAGAAAACCTTATCATTTGGGACAGTGGGTTGGATTGGGAGAGGGGGTTGGGGGTAGAATAAACTATCTACTCCCACAACCCCTAGAGAGCTATACAGTGGTTCCCTGGCCTCTGGCATAACCCTCTTCTGCAGCTGCCCAAGAGGAAAGGTAACTCCCAGTATTGACCTTCTTTGCCCAGAAACCTGTGGCCAGGCCACCTTCTTGTTTGAGTCAGGGTGGGAACTGGGATGGTGAAAGGAGGCAGACCTTGAATTGTTAAAACTTTGTAATCTTGAGCAAGTTGAGCAACCTCTCTGGGCCTCGGTTGCCCCATCTGTCAAATGGGGATACCCAGAAAGGGGAGAGAGACCTAAGTCAGGGGGACAGTCTCCTTCCTAATCTGTTGAATAGTCAAATGATGGTCTGTGGGGGTTGTGATCTGACTGTATGGATATAAATGTTAGAAAGTAGTAATAAAGAGCTAACATGTATTATTTACTAAGTGCACCAGGCACTGTGTTAAGCACTTTACATGTATTTATTTACATATGTAGTCCTCGAGGCAAGCCTTGATTATCTATGAGGTAGATAATCTTTTGATCCTTCCTGCAAATGAAGAAACTGAGGCACAGACAAATGAAGTAATTTTCCCACAGCTGCTAAGTGGATTCAAGCCTTTGTCCTCTTTATGTTTCTTTTGCTTTTCTTCCAAACATCTGGGGTGACTTCTATCTCTGTCACTTCTGCCTGTGGACCCAGGGTCAGGGGGTTGGTTCTGGATAGACAGGGTACCGGCCCACTGGGCATGGCTGTGCACCAAGGATAGGCAGGGACACGGGGGAAGAATGCCAGGGCGTTGCGGGGGAGCTGCAGGCTGCGCATGAGCTGGCACCAAGAATCCCAGGCTCGGGGGTGGGTGGAGCCTGCTTTTCCCACCCCTGCCACAGCTGCCCGAAGCCCAGGGCCCGCGGGGGCTGCCTACCCACACACGAACAGGTCAGCTGCTTCTCCTGCCCTGGGCACACTGTGGCTTGAGCAGTTGTCATTTTTGGCTTTAAGGGAAAATAGGAGTCCAGTCCTTGAGTCCCCTCCAGTCTGTCACACAAACTTGCAAAGCTGCCTGACAATTTCAGGGATGAGGATGGAGAAAGGAACTCTGGATGAATGGCAGGCTTCTCCAATTATTGAGTGCCTACTGTATGCTGGGCACTGCTGGGTGCTGGGCATCTGTGGAGCACAAGATGTAAACATGTCCTCCTAGGACCTGTGGCTGAGGACGTGCCTCCTCCCAGCTGCCTTCCGTCACCCACCTCCTCGGCCACTCTGCATCTCAGCTCTGTGCGGGCAGGGAGCCCAGCAGCATCTGCCATGGAGTTCAAGCCCACCTCGGCCACTTGCCTGCTCTGCTGCTGTGGGCGAGTTATTTATCCTCTCTGAGCCTCAGTTCATCCACTCATCCCACACATACTTAGTGAGCACCTACTACGTGGGACCTCCACTCTAGCAGGGGGAAAGCGACAATGGACAGTAACCTGAATGCACAGTGACGACACTAGTTGCGTTGGGAGGTGTCCATCCACGGATCAGAAGCAGAAGCCGAGTGGGATGAGGTGGACTGCACGGGGCGGGCTGCAGCGGGCTGCTGCTGTAGGAAGCAGGGGCACGACGTTGGCCGCGTTGAGAAGGTCACGTTGAGCAAAGGCTTGGAGGGAGGGAGGGAAGGGGGACCAGGCAGATGTGTGGGCGTAGAGCACTCCAGGCTGGGCACAGCTGGAGCAGACGTCCTGAGGTGGGAGCAAGGGAGGAAGAGTCCGAGGTGGCTGAGGGGCCCACGACAGTGGTGGAGGGGCAGGAAGGGGGACGCAAATGGAGTAGTATGTTAGATGGTGCCGGGTGCTATAAGCGGGACCAGCGAAGGGCATCTGTTATTAACCGCTTCCGCAGTTCATGCTGTGCCCTGGGCCTGCTTGTTCTGTGTCCATCTGTGATTTGTCTCTAAGACCAGGCACCGTGTCCCTCACCTTGAATCCCATCTGCCTGCACAGTGGCCCAAGTAGAACTGGGTCCCTAGGAGTGGTCAGTGCACACTTAAAGGCAGGCTCCTGGCTGGGCGGGACTTCTGGTCAACCAGAGCTGGAGAGGCCCTCCAAATCTCTCTCCAGAGGTTCCCAGATGCTGGGCCTTGCTGTGCTCTTGTGCCTCCCCGTGAAGGCTTTCCAGTTCTTGGTGAAGTGAGGGGAACATGGGGGCAATGTGGTGAGTTTGTCCAAGGCTGAATGGATTCCATTTAAAAACTCAGAGATCATGAACTTCCTACTTTTATGAAATGTCCTTTTCAGAACTCATGGCAACAGTCAATGGTAATTGTTTTAAAAGTCTTTACTTGGCAAAATAGAAACTTGGCAGACCAATATTAGTACCCCCCCTTAAAAAAATGTTTCTTGTCTGCATTACCCCAAAGTCTGGGAACCACTGACCTAATTTGTCCTTCCACTGGACAGATATGGGATCCAGAACCCCAGGAGGTTCCTGGTTTGCTCAAGGTCACAGGCAAGAGTTAATTGTCTTACTTTTGGTCAGAGAATGCAGTGGGGGAGCCGTGGAGAAGAGCCATGAGAGGGAGCCAAGGGGAAGGGAAGTCCTCGACAGAGCTGGCTGGGACGGGGGCAGCCTCCTCGGCTGCAGAAGGCTCCAGCTCTGGTTAGTGGAGGCAGGGTCATGGTAATGAGGCCAAGCCCGCTAGACCCCATGGGTCCTGGGGCAGCCCTCTGCCTGGCTGCAGGAGGGCATGGGCCCTGGAGTCTGACAGACCCAGGTTCCAAACCAACCCTGCACTGTCTGTGGACTTGAGATGTATTATTTAACCTCTGGTCATGTTCTAACCAGTAAAATCGGAACATTAGCAGCTGTGAGGATTTAATGAAGTAACACTGTACCTGCCACAGCCAATCCTTTATCAAAAGCAAGGGGGCAGTGGGCCGAGCCCGTGGCGCACTCGGGAGAGTGCGGCACTTGGGTGCGCAGCAGCGCTGCCGCCGCAGGTTTGGATCCTATATAGAGATGGCCAGTGGGTTGCAATCCCCTTACTGGTCACAAAAAAGACAAAAAAAAAAAAAAAGCAAGGGGGCAGTCAGACCCCTCCTCCAACCCAGCAAGGCAGATGGGTTTCTCCTGCCATGAAGAGTTGACATGGAGGAACTTGGGCCATGGAAGGCATCACATTCTGCCTCAGGCTCATGGTTTCATCTGTTGCTTATTGAGCACCGATGCATGAGCCTGGTGCTCAGTGCTCCTGTGGGTTAGCCCCATTGAGGGACAGGTGCCCTCAATTTTACTATCTGTGAAATGGGCAGGTACTATTGTGCCTGAGTGGACTAAGGTCCAAACCCAGATTGCCTTATAGACATTTAGGTTCTTATCCCCCATTCTACCTGAAGTCTCTTAGGGGTTTACAGCAACAGACTGGAAGGTAGCACGGAGTTCTCTGTCCTGAGAGATGTGTAAGTACAGACTTGGTCATCATTTAGTGGGAAATGATAGCGAGAGTTTAGAAACAGATCAAATGATTAACGTGGATAACACTGAACATCATTTTCAACATGGACTTTCTGTAATTTTAGGATAGGCACCCTATCTTATTCACCTTGGCCTCCCTTGCTTCCTTGATGCCGGGCACAGCACAGTGTGCTCTGCACTTCTAAGGGTTTCTCAAAAAATGCTGAATGAGTGAATGAATGGGGAGCAACACCCATGTCCAGTGAGCTCGGCAATGAGGAAAGTGAGGTCCAGCGAGGAGAGGGGGTTTGCAGAGTCCGAGTGGTAGGATGGGAACTTGTCCTCTGCTTCCCCATCTGAATACAGATTCTAGGGCTTCCGGAAGATTAGCCACAAGGCACGTAAGATACCTGGTGCTGTGCCCAATGTAGCAGGTGGTCACTCATTGGTAGCTTTGTGGTTTAAGGCCGGAGACCAGGCTGGATGAATGTTCGCAATCTGCCCATCTCTAAGGGTCGGGGCTAAGGGTACAGGCTGTCAACTCAGATGGAGTTGAGTTGAAGCTCTGACTGTATGAGCCTCAGTCTCCTCGTATGTAAAATGGGTATAGTTAATAGTAGCTACCTCTTGGGGCTCTGGGAGATCTGGAGAGATCACGTGGGTAATATGGAGGCTGTTGTTAGTGCCCATTCCTCCCCACCTCGACCTTGCCCATCTGGTCCTGAAAAGACTCACTTGAGTGTCTCCAAGTATCTGAAGGGAAGGTGGGCCAGAGATTAAAGACCCCGGTTTTACAGGTAAGGAAACAGGTAAGAGGGTAAGTGACCTCCCAAGCAATGGACAGTTATTTTCTGGCTGGAGCGGAGACTAATAATATGACCGCAGCTGTTCACTGAGTACTGTCTATAAGCCAAGAGTCATACACACACACTCATTGGATTCTCATGCACACTCAAGAAGTACCTATGATAATTATCCCCACTGGGCAGATAAAGCAGTAGTAGAGGGACAGAGAGGCATGAATTTGCTCAGGACCTCACACCTAAGGGATTAATGATGGAACCAGGCAGCTTGTCTTTGGAGCTCACAGCTTCCCAAATCCTGGAGCCAGAGTGCCCTGGAGGGAGCACAGGTCCCCACACCAGTAATTCAGTTGCTGGCTGAAGGTGTTCAGTCCTCTAGAGCAGACCCTCCAGGCCCCTCCCCAAGCTGCTGAGCAAACTTCCTACCCACAGGATGGACTGTGCAGATCTGCCTCCAGGCATTGCCAGGGCCAACACAGGACACACCCTGCCTGGTCAGGCCCGGCCACCCAGAAGGTGAAGAGGTAATCGGGCAGTAAGCCTATGTGTCAGTGACTTCTGCCCCCTGACCCCTTCCTTGCTCAGCACTGTCCTCTTGCCTCTGTAGGAGTTTCTCTGTGACCAGAAGTACAGTGATGAAGAGAACCTGCCAGAAAAGCTCGCAGCCTTCAAAGGTAAGCTGAGGCTGGCTGCCCTGCCGTCACGGGGAGCTGGGCTGGCCCGGCCCATCCGCCCATATACACAGGACTCCTTAGGCCCACAGGCTAGGCTGTGGCCCCCTTTCACCCAGGACGCTCCTCTTCCTGGCACACTTCGAGACAGGGGACCCTTGAGAGGTGGGGGCAGGCCCCTCCACCTTCCGCCCTGCAGGCCCTGGACTGGCCCTGCCCCTCTCTTTCCCTGGCTGCTCGGCAGGGCTCAGGCTGGCTCCTGGCCGCTGCTGCCCAGGCCCTGCTCGCTCTCGGGGCCCCGCGCACAATCAGCTCTTTGTGAGCAGCCCTTGCCTCTCCCCCTCGGCACTGGAGCATCTCGGGAACCCCTGTGGAGAATGGACGTTTGTGTCGCCACAGTGGGGCACGGGGGCAGAGTTTCTGCCATTGAATCCCAGCAGCACAGGATGAAAAGAAAACAGGGCCTGGGAGCCCATGCGGGGAGAGGGGCAGCATAAAGATCCCTCTGTCTGGGGCCCTGGCACTTGGTTCCCAGCCAGAGGCTCGAAAGGAGAGAAGCCGTGCACACAGGAGTGGAGCAGACCCTCCTTTCCTGCCAAGGAGGCACTCAAGGTGCAGGACCCCTGGACTCACTGGAGGACATGCCCCCCATGTATTTGCAATGGGGACATCTTTCCTGCTCCAAGGCAAAGAGCCTGCCAAGTGCTCCTCAAATCCCTTACAGCTTAGTTGTCCTTAGGCAGGACATCGATGGCTAATAATAGTAATAACAGCTGGCATTTGTCAAGCATCAACCTGTATGAGACACTTCTCACGTGGCCTTGGGAGCTCCCCAAATCACCTCAGTCCACCAGGAGGGAGCCGGTGCAATTGGTCATCTACGGATGGAGAAAGTCGGGGTCAGTGAGGTATGGTCACTGGTCACAGCTCACCCATACCAGAATTGGGACTTGAACCCATGTTGGTCTGGCTTCAAAGCATTGTGCTATGATGCTTTTTACATTAAGAAAAAAGGAGAGAAATAGGAAAAAGCCACCCCTGTCCCCACCGCGCCCCAGCCGCCTGCAGAAGAGCCGTGCAAAGAAGAGCAGTTCTCTCTGGATGCCAGCGGGGCCACTCTGTAGGGGTGGCTCTGGGAGGAGGGCCAGGGTCTGGGGATCTAATGTCCGCTCTGCTTGTCTTCGCCGGGATGTTGGAGTGGGTCTGTTGGGCTTGACTGGAACCACAGGGAGTTACGTTGGAAAGGAAGAGACCAGAGAAGACTTCAAATCATTCACTTATTTTCTCTCCAAAATGAGCGTTTATAAGCACCAGGCTCATTCCAGGTGTGGGGACACAGCTGTGAACACACAAGACGGCCCCTGCCCATAGGAGCCTGTGTCTAGTTGGGGAGGGGACAGTAAACAGAGAGCAGGGAAATACAAAAGTCAGCAGATCATAGTAGGTGCTTTGGCGAGAAAAGAACTTAGGAGGGAGGACAGGAGTGCTTCGTGGAGGGGGTGGGACACTTAGAGAGGCAGTGAGCTGGAGCAGGTGGGGGGCAGGCAGGAGCAGCAGGGCCAGCGGAGTGGAGTGGAGGGGCCAGGGGTGCCTGCAGACCATGGGGAGGACCTCGACTTTGTCGCACTGGCCACCCCATGGTGCAGAGTAGACTGTGAGGGCCCTGCTGTGCCCAGGTAGGAGTGACCTGCCAAGGCCACGAGGTTCGTTTGACACACTGCCCTCGGCAGAAGATACCACACTCATTGCTCAAGTTATCCTCCCTCTGTTGGAGGCTTTCCTGGTCTTGATCAGGGAATTTTAATTCGAGTCTGTAGGTGAGATTCGTGGGGAGGGTCTGTGTATCCCTGGAAACTGTGCTGCTTTGTGAGCTAGGGCGGGCCCATGGGCCTTTCTCCTGGTTTCAGAACCAGTGACCTCTTAAATCGTAGGTTCCCACACCTGACTGCCCCTCGGAATCACCTGAGACACTCTGAAAACACACCAACATCCGCCCGCACCCCGCCCTTCCCACACCCCCTGAATCCAAACCTGCAGGGCCAGGACTCGGTTCTGATCACGCCACAGCTGATTCAGCACAGCCAGCCCGTGCTGGTGGGGACCTGGGAGGAAGCGGCTGCCCTCCTGGTGAGAGGGTCAGAGTGGCCCCAGCTGGCCATGTGCCTGCAGGAGTGGCACAGGCAGGAGGAGCTCTTTCTCCTGGAGTGGGGAGGGTAGGGTGGGCTCCCCCAGGACCCAGTCACTTGCTCTCAAGGGAGTCACTGGGTTGCTGCAGGGAGAGGTGCTGCTTCTAGGCTAATGCCAGCATTTGCTCTGTGATTTCTAGACAAGTACATGGAGTTTGACCTGAACAATGAAGGCGAGATCGGTGAGTGAGGCCTTGAGTGTGTTGGGGGCAGGGGGAGGGAGGGGGGTAGGTGGGTAGAGGGCTTGAGGGTCCACGTGGGTAAGGAGAGTAGGGTGGTCCCGCGAGAGTGATGAGCACACAGGAACTTCCACAATGGGCCAGGCCAGCCGAGCCAGCCCGGCATGAGCACTTCTGCCCTCTGCCCTGGCTCCACGGCCCTCAGACTCCTGTCAAGGCCGTTTCCTCCCTCTCTGCTTCCTTCCCCACCCACCTCCCTGCCCATGCCTCAGCCTCCCATCAGGGTGCTACGGGGACTTAGGATAGAGGGTGCCACACCCTGCCCAGAGCTGGAGACACGAGGGCTGCCCTAGGCTGGACAGGCAGGTGACCCCTGACCCAGGGGGCTGGCATTTCCTTTGTCCCCAAGCCTGCCTTTCCATTGTACAGTTGACAGGGTGCTTTCGTGTTCATCAGTTCCTTCCTCCACTAGACCCTTATTGCACGCTGCTGTGCTGGGGGTGACGCTCTGTCCTGTGGCACTTGCGTTCTGGTAGGAGACCATAGCTCTGTCTTCACCAGCCACATTACAACACGGTCCAGGCGGGTTTTATCCTCATTTCACAGATGAGGAAATCAAGACTCAGAAAGGCAGATTGACTTGCTCGGGACACTGGTCGTGGAGCGGCAGGTGCAGGGCCCGCCTTCGGCTTCTGAACAGGCTCCTCCTGCTCCGTTTCACCCTGTAGCTCCTGGGTGGCCTCTGCTGCCGGCATTTCTTCTGCTCTGTCTCCTCTGTCCTTTCTCTTCTCTTCTCCCTTTTGAGTATTTTGATCACTTTTTCTTTAGAGAAAAAGTGTTTTGGAAATACATTTTCACCATAAAAATTTTTGGGAAACACAGCAAAGCACAAAGACAAAAATACATCACCCACAGTCCCACCTCCAGACACATAGAAACATTTTGGTTTATAGCCTTCTGCTCTTTATTCTAATCACAAATGCTATTTTATACCATTTTAGAACCTCCTTTTTTTATATTTTATTTTTTGTAACTTAATGTACCAGTGAGTATTTTGATTTATGATTGTTTTTTCTTCTGAAAAATCCGTTGTAGGAATGGACTCTAATTTGTTTGGCCAATGTCTTAAGAGTCGACCATTTAGACCATTTATAATTTTAACTTTTTTTTTTTTTTTAAAAGATGACCGGTAAGGGGATCTTAACCCTTGACTTGGTGTTGTCAGCACCACGCTCAGCCAGTGAGCGAACCGGCCATCCCTATATGGGATCCGAACCCGGGGCCTTGGTGTTATCAGCACCACACTCTCCCGAGTGAGCCACAGGCCGGCCCAAATTTTAACTATTTTTGATGATTCTGTGAAGAACATCTTTGTTCGTGAATCTTTGTCCACATTGCTGGTTATCTGTAGAGTAAATCTCAGGAACGAGATGTTGTGGGTGAAAGGCTTTGGAAGCATCTTGCCAAATTGCCTTTCAGAAGGGTCCTGCCAGCTTTGAGTCTGGCTGGCTGCGTGTGGGAGCCCTTGGCTCTCTCCTGTAGGAAGCTGCCCAGCTCTCTTTGAAGTGCCCTGGACACCCTGACACCTTCAGACCTGGCCCCAGTCCTGCAGGCCCCACCTCTCACTGAGCTCTGGCTGCACTGGCCCAGCCCTGCTCCCACCGGCCTTTGTCCAGTGAAGGACAATCCAAAGGAAATTGCCTCAGATCTTGGTGGGAGCCAGGAGGTCAGAGGCAGCAGCTCCTCAGGGTGTAGGGACTTTTTGGTGCCTCCCTTGTTTTTCTTGAATTTTGTTCTTTTGTTGGTTTTCCTGCTCCACAGGATATTTTTGGCACCCTCTTCCCCCTAGTAGAGGAGGAGCCCTAGGACAGCAGGGTGGGAGTGGCAGGTACGGAGAAGCTGTCTGCCACCCAGTGCCCAGGAGAGTGGCTTTCAATACTGGGGTCATTTCATGGGCCAGAGACTCCCCGGGTAGCAGGAGCAGTGGGCACATAGCTCACCCTAGCCACAGGGAGCAGCAGGGATAATAATGAGTGTAAAGAAAAATGGTTCTGTTACTGAGCACCTGCTCTGTGCAGGAGCTTCCCATACACCAACCATTCTACCATTGATGGAGCAGGGAGGGGTTCAGAGAGGTTAAGTATTTTGCCTTAGGTTCCACAGCAGGAAGCAGCAGAACTCGATTCCAACCCAAGCCTGTCTCACTCTAGAAGCCCAGTCCCTAACCACTAGTGTATACTGCCTCCGAGGAGAGCAGGGAAGGTGTGATGGGCTCATCCTCCCCAGAGGAGAAATGCCATTGACTGCAGATCCAGGCGGGGGATCTCCTGCTGAGCTTCTGGGCGTGGGGCGCGGGAGTGGAGCTTTCCCAGCTTCCCTGCTTGGCCCCAGCAGCCTGTCTCTGCTTAACAGATCTGCTTTTCCTCCGGCAGACCTGATGTCATTAAAGAGGATGATGGAGAAGCTTGGAGTCCCGAAGACCCACCTAGAGATGAAGAAAATGATCTCGGAGGTGACAGGTGGGGTCAGTGACACCATCTCCTACCGAGACTTTGTGAATATGATGCTGGGGAAACGGTCGGCTGTGCTGAAGCTGTGAGTACCTCTCACCTCTCTGGAGACCTCTGAAGGAAAAGTTGTTCTGTGCAGAGAGCCCCCTGGCATGGGACACCTCAGCCATTCCCCAACCAGTAGGTAACTTGCTGTGTGACCTTCTGGGCAAGGTGCTTAATTTTTCTGAACCTTATTGCCTTATCTGTCAAATGGTCACATTAATACGTAGCTTGCAGGGGAAATTAGCCTATAGCCGAGCGTCTGGCAGAATCAGTAAGTAAGTAACTGTGATGATAATGATGGTGGCGATGGTGACAAATCTATTGTCTGAGCCTCAGTTTCCTCATTTGTAAACCCAGGGGTTGCTGTGAGCATAAAATAGAGTTAAAAATCAGCTCCGAACAGAGGTAGAGTTCAAATCCTGAAGCTATTACTTGTTACCGAAATGACCCTGGGAAAGTTACTCTAGGTCCTCAAGCCTCAGTTTCTTCATCTGTAAAAGAGGGATGATTATACACGTCTTCTGTGAAGTGTTGTCCTGAGGGTTAGTGAGATGGCACATGAAGATTCCAGCCCAGTGCCCAGCTGATGGCAAGCACCTAATTATGGTAGCCAAACTCACACATCGTAGGTACTTTCTCATCGCAGAGTGTTAGAGATTCCCTGCAGAGTCTCACCTTTATGTCACAGCTGAAAAGGACACTCACTTGGCTTTTATGAAAGAAGATTCACTTTTTTTTTTAAGTATGAGAAGTAAAATGTACTGTCTCATTTTATGAAGGAGTTCATAGAGGCCCAAGGAGGCTGAGTAACTGGCTTATGAGCCCACGGTTCAATCTGGCCAAAGCTTTTAGCATCCCCCCTTACAGACAGAAACTCTGAGGATCAGAGCGGTTGAGTGTCTGGCTTGACTCACCCAGCTGGGAAGTAGTAAGGCCGACATTCAAATCCAGGCTGTTTCCCCCTGGAGATCATACTCTAAATCCCTACCTGCTACTCCCCAGACTTTACTCTCAGAGCACTGGGGAGGTTTTAAAAGATCTGAAGGGGTTTTGAGCACAGCCATGGCCCAGCCTCACTCGGCCTCATCCAGGCATCATAGTTAGGGGAAGGCAGCTGGCCTAGAAGTAAGAGGCCTGGGGTCTCATCCTGCCTCTGCCTCGGACTTCCTGTGTGGTTCTGAGGAGTCCCATTGCCACTTTGTGCCTCAGTTGCCTTCTGTGTAAAATGGGATTAGCAGCTCCTTCCTTGTAGCTGCCATTTGGGCTTCTGTGAGGAGTGCAGATTTGAGGCCATTCTGTCAAAAACTGTGCAGACTCAAAGGCTGGGATGACCTTTTTTTGGATGAAGGAAGAAGTCCTAATCTGTTTTTTTCTTTTCTTTTCTCCCTCTCCAAACCAGAGTCATGATGTTTGAAGGAAAAGCCAATGAAAGCAGCCCCAAGCCAGTTGGCCCCCCTCCAGAGAGAGACATTGCTAGCCTGCCCTGAGGACCTCTGCCTGGACCTCCCTGGCCTCCCCACCCCTGCTCCTCCCTCCTGATCTGCCCTTCCTGACTCATTGCGATTTGTCTTGTTTGTTTGGTTGTTGTGGGTTTGTTTTTTCTCATCGGCAGAATCAGTGATCTCTTTGTAAAGCACAAATTATCTGCCTTAAAAGGGGTCTGGGTCAGGGAACCCTGAGCCTTGTGTCCCCTCCCTCTCTTCTTTCCTCCTTCCCCTGTCTTTGTGCAGAAGGGCTGACATCAAACCAAAAACCAGAGGGGACGGGGCTGGGGCTGGAAGCCTGTGTTCCCTATGCTTGCAGCCGGCACTGTCCATCCTTCCAGGTCTCTGAGCTAAGTTCAGGCTTATTGGCCTGGCCCTGGTGAGAAACCCAGTCTGCTTTCAGAAGACCTTGGAGTAGGGACAAGTCTTCAGGATTTTCCCAGACAGCTCTGTGGTTTCAGTGCTGTTGGGTTGTACAGGACACAGCCACTCAGTGCCCCACTGCCCTAGCTGACCCCCCCTCAGTCCACACCTCTTCTCATCCACAATGATGTGACAGCAGGCAGGAAGGAGAGGAGCTTGCCAATTTGAGCCCTTCAAGAAGGTACCAGAAGGAGCCCTGTGGTCCTGCTCCCTGGCCACACCTTTACAGGCAGCTCAGATGGAGGGCAGCCTCACTATCCCTCGCTGGGGCAGCAAAGGGCTTCAGATATAGAGATGAGGCCAGGGCCTTGGAGGAGGGTCAGCTCAGTGCATTCCCACCTTTTGGGCAAAAGGATGGGAGAATGGGGAGTAAAATGCTCATGGCAAAAAGCACTGTTAAGCCAAGTGCTGAGAAATAGGAGGTTGCCTTTCTGATCCCAGTCTGCTTGAAACCTGGCTTTGCTTCCCTCCTTTGCCTTCCTAACCTACTCATACCACTCATTCATTTATTCATCCACTTATTCATTCAACAGATATTTATTGACCACCTATTATAAGCTTTAAGTCCTCCCACTTTGTCCTGACATGTGCTGCGTCCACTGTCTCTCGGACTCATCTCTCCCTTTCCAAATCGCTCAAAACCTTGAGCTTGGGGATTGGATTGGAGTCACCTGTGTCCTTTCTGATGGACTCACAGGATTTTAGAGCCCTGTAGGTTAGCTAGGCCAGTCCTCTGATTTCCCTGGTGAGGAAGCTGTTGTGGCCCACAGTGATTAAGTGCCTTGCCCAAGGTCAAGGTGTTAATCTGAAGATGGCAGAACCTGAACTGGAACCCAGGTGTTCAGGTACCCTGCCAGTGCCTCATCTCTGCTCTGGGCTGCCTTAGTCAGTGATGAAAAGAGGGAAGGGGAGGGGAGCGGTAATCTGCTTGGTCAACAGCACGGGAAGCCTTCACTCACTCTAAAGGCTGGGACTTGTCCTCCCCAGTGACTCCAAGCGTAGGGTATAGGTTAGGCCTAGGCCTGGCTCTGCAGTTCTGCCTCCCCCGCAGCTTCTTGGCTGAGCCTCAAAGAACCGCTTCTCAGGACTCTCTCAGGAAGATGTCAAACTCAGCCCCATCTTGGCTGAGCAGACTGCACCTGTGTTCTGATGTCCCTTTCACTGCCTGCTCAGGACTTAGATGCATTTACTTGCTGAACATTCTTGTTAAGCACCTGCCATAGGCCAAGAATTAAGAACCCAGTAGTGAAATGGACAGACTCATGGAATTTAGAGTCTAGTGGGAAGTCAGACCCAGACAATGACAGTGAGATGAATGTTAGGAAGGTGGGGTGGGTATGGGGGTGAATGCCCTGCAGTCCTGGGGGAGCCTAGCTGGACCCAAGACTGGGCAAGGGTTTTGGAGAAGCCTTTCCAAACGTTAAGTGGAAAGAACTGGGCACTATTGGAGGTTGGAGCCATCTGGGCTCCCTGCAGCTCTTTAGTGATCCATGATCAAGGACCTAAGGCGCTGCCTCTGCAGCAGCTTAAGGGAGTAAAACAGGTAGAGCATGAGGAAATGGCCAGGTTGGGTTAATCTGCTGGTTTCAACTGGTTCAGGAGCAAGGTTATTTGGCCATGACTGGCTGGTCTCCAGCCTAAGGAGCTGCTTCAAATGCACAGGCCTAGTTGAAGTTTAAACCCCAGCAAAACATTCCTCCTTGTAAATGTAAAATCCTACTCCCAGTCCCCGCCCCCCCCTGCCTTGTTTTTTGGGGTTTTTTTGTTTTTGCTTTTCTTTTGTGTTTCTTTTCTTGAAATCATCAGATTAGCAACTGCGTGTCCCCACTCCTTCCCACTGCCTCTCCTCTCTGGGACAAGTTGAGACCTTTGAGGAAGATAAGGCCTACCGTAACTTCCCATCATATTCATGTGTCTGTTTCTCCCTTGGAGAGAAAAGCAGAACCCATCAGGCTTATTTAACTGGGTTCTACAGTTTACAAGACTGCAGGAAGCCTCAAAGGAGAAGAGCAAGCAGGTGTGTCCCCAGCTTCTGGAAAGAGGGTTCTCTCATTGGATTGGGGGTCTGTGGCCTGGGAAACTCCATCAGTCCTCTTTCACCATTTTTTGAAACTCAAACCCTTGGGGGAGAGGGTTTCAGGAGTGGTTCCTGGAAATGGGGATCTGCATGTATTTCAGGTTGTGGCTGTTCGCTCTAGGACTCTTATTTCTCTGGTTCAAGGTTCAACTTCTTGGGACTTCGACTGTCTTCTTTCTGAAAGACCAAATCTAACTAATGTAACCACCAACATGGGGACTGCCAATATGGCATTGTCTCTATGACTCAAAAGGCAAGAGTTTGTCGGGCAAAGTGGATGAAGTTATGTGTGTGCGTGTGTTTATGGAGTGTGTGGGGGGTAGGATACCATCTGTACAGATTGAAAATAAACCAGACAAACTTACCAATGTCTTGATTAGTGTATTTGGGGGACAGTTTTGGGCTCAGCAAATTAAGAAGAGCTAGCTAAAATAGTAATGTATCAAATGAGTGTGTGCTGTGTGTTAGGGTCTGAGACAGCTGAGCTTCCTTTACTTCTCACCACAACCCCACAAGACAGGTTCTAGTCCCTCGTCCTTGTTTTTACAAATGAGAAGCAGGTTAGAGCAGATAAGTAATCTGCTGGAAATCAAACAGTGGCAGAATATGCCCCCCTGGAGCCAACCCATGGACTTCAAGTTAAGAACTTCTGCCCTAAATCATTTCTAATATAATTCCACTGCATAGGACTGTGCGGTATCGTCAGTCAGCACATCCAGAGGGCCACTGGAGAATTTTCTTCTCTGTGCTTCCCTTACCTCACCAATTAAATGTTAATAATAACCCCTAAGTGACTATCAAGTTTTGAAGATTAAATGAGATAGTACTTCTAAAGTGTTTTGTGCGGAACTCGGCACAAACTGTTTTGTGACCAGAAGTGGGTAGGGATTTTTCTCTGGAAATGATTACCTCTAAAGGAATAAACAAAGCTGGTCTTTGGTGCCCATTAACTCCCCGTCTAAGCCTTTGTCCTTAGACACGTAAGGGTCTCCCTTGGCGAGGGCCCATCCCACCTTCTGAACGTCCCTTCCTCCTCCTGCAAAACCTCTCTCAAAAACTGCCCCCTGGAAATACGAATTTGTCAAGTTCCTAACTAACATCTCTGAAGCATAAGCCAATAGCCACCTACACCTAAGGGTTACTGAGATGTCAAAGGAACAACACGCGTGGAGCGACTGGTCGTGCGCCGCCCAATAAGTAGAACCATCACGACGTGACCCCCGCCCCCAGCTAGATGCGAAGGCAGGGGCGGGCCCAGAGCGCTACAGGGCGCAGGCGCAAGGGCCCTCGGCCACGCCCCTAATCGGGAGCTGGCCAATGAGGAGACGGCGGCCCGGCGAGCGCGCGACTTCAGACAGTCCTACGACCTCCCTCGATCTCGCTGCGAATGAGGACGCGTGACGTCACCAATGCGCACCGGAAATGCGCCATCTGCTGCGCGCCGCTGGCGCTGGGGGAAGGAAGTTAGCTTTCGAGCGTCCTGGGCTCTGCGGGCAAGGCCGGGAGCGGCAGCGGCGGCTGCTTCGACAGCGTGAGGGCAGCACGATGGGAGACGAGATGGACGCCATGATCCCCGAGCGGGAGATGAAGGTCAGAGACTGGCCGGGGCCTCCATTCCGCCCTTAGTCGTAGCGTCGCTTTGGAGTCTGGCTGAGCCGGGAAGCGCCGGTGCCGGCTGCCCGCCTCCGGCTCGAACAGTTCACCGCGTTCTGAGTTCTCAGTCGTGCGCCCTGGAGCACTCTGGCGGGCCGCCGGCGTGATAGCCCCACCGAATGCGGTTTCCCGTCCCCTGGCCTTGTGCACGCCTCTTGAGTTGCCGTAGCTACTTTGATGTGATGGTCGCAGTAGTGGTGATAACTGCTGCGTGATTACTGTGTGTCGGGCCCTGTGGTAAGCATCACAGCAACCTTACGAAGCAGTCCTTAATACGAGAGCAGATCGGCGCTCGGAAAGTAATTTACCCAGTCGCGCTGAGCAAAGGAACTGAAAACCAGGTTCATTTAAGACCCTCTCTTCTTCACGCTCCGTGTACTACTGCTGTAAGGTGGTCCGGGCTTGCTTAATGTAGAGCCGGGGAAGATTACCCATCCTTCAAAACCTCTCGTTAATTGGACCAGGAAGATTATTTTGGCAGCGGAAGTTAGCCTAAAGTCAGGAAACTAAAGGGAGGGCCGAGTGATCTGAATGATGGTAACGTGGGAATCCCCCAACAGTAACTCCCAGGGTGCTGTGTTCAATAGCTCTTGTATATGTTCTGACAGAATGAAGGTACAGAGAACGAGATACGTTTTTTAAAAACAGCTGAAAGGGAGTAAGTTGCAGGAAGATTTTAGGCATTTGTGTGAACAACAAATCACTGAAATGCGTTTAGGGGAAGGTAGTCTATACCATGTTTAGAATAATGATTCTCCCTTCTTGAGAGTCACTGCCTGTTGCGAGCCACTTAATGGGATGTGTCATATTTCTCAAATATGCTGGGGCAGGAGGACCACAGACTTAGAAATGATAATCTTCTGATTCTAACAGAAAGGAGAGCCCACCTCTGCCTCTTCATTCCACTGGTCCTCTACACCCATGTGACCAAGACCCAAATAGCATATTTGGGATTATCAGGATGAGAATTACGTAAAGACTGAAAATTTTATTCTGTTCCTGTATGAAACTATACGATGGTTTCACCTGGAAAGCTGTGTGAATTTTTGCTCACTGACTAAGAGTATTTCAGTTGGTCTCTTACCAAATGTGTATTAAACACCAAATCCAATTAAATTAGTATGTGGGGTAATTTAGAGATCCTGTATGAAACACACCAGAAGAATCTAGTGTATGAAAATGAAGGCCAAGAAAAGCTTTATAATTTTGGAATGTAAGCACAAAGTGGATTCACTTTCTTTTCACTAAAATCTTGACCCGAAAATAAGTACAGAATTGAAGAATAGAAAAAAAAGAAAAGAAAAGAATATATAGTAAAACATAACATAGTGATAAGTAAAATTATGGAACTCTTTTTATCAAAAGGTGGTACACGCTGAAAATTGTCTTTGAAAACAGGCATTGGCAGGAGGTCAGGGAAGGCTCCCAGACCAATTATGTCTAAAATCTCTAAAGTACTAAGGAGCACGAAAATCGAAGGAAATGAAAACTGGGAGTAGGTGGAGGTGGGGTTGGCAGTAGCTGTGGCAGAGGTGATGGCACACTTGTGGAAGGGAAGCAGTATTGTGTGGTGAGGCTGCATAGATGAACGGATCAAGCCATGCCCAGCCTGTAACCTGTGTTAAGGGTTTTGGACTTGCATTTTAGATGTCCTCATAGCATCTAGGTTTTACTTAAAGGTCTGGAATGCCAAGAGATCAACCATGTTCTTTTCTGTGATGGAATTTTGTTTAGCATTTGATACAAGTAAGCCAGTTCTTGGAACTTGGTCATCTTTCTGTGGTTGTTATTTCATTATATATTTGTTGAGTACTGCACTGGAAGTTAGAACTTATTGTGTAGTTGGGTGATGCTTTTAATATTTAACAATTTCTTAAGCATTATGCTGGATTATGAGATAATACATACCATGAAATAGGACAAAATTATAAAAAATAAAGTGTTGCTTGTGTGGTGAATCAGGCACTAGGAATTCAGAAAAGGAGAAGATTGGTGTGAGCTGGTTTAATCAAGGAAGGCTTCATGGAAGTTTTTTGGTTTTGGGTTTTTTTTTCCATTTATTTCACTCAGCAAATATTAACGAGCACTATGCCAGGCACCGTGATAAGCACAGGGGGGTTAAAGACAACTAAAATTGTCTTTGGCCTCAGGGTAATATGAGGGTACTTCAAAAAGTTCATGGAAAGATTCATATTATCTTTTAATTTTATTTTTCCACAAACTTTTTGAAGTACTCTTGTATATATTTTTTTCATACTGAAATTAAGTCTACTGGAACATAATAGCAGACATGATTTAATATCCTGTTTTCCCTGAATTGATCTTGTTTTGATCCTTCACAACAGGATTTTCAGTTTAGAGCACTGAAGAAAGTGAGAATTTTTGACCCCCCTGAGGAGTTGCCCAAGGAGCGCTCGAGTCTGCTTGCCGTGTCCAATAAATATGGTCTGGTCTTTGCTGGTGGAGCTAGTGGGTTGCAGATTTTTCCCACTAAAAATCTTCTTATTCAAAATAAACCTGGAGAGGATCCCAATAAAATAGGTAAGTTTCTTGATTTAGGTTGCATAGTAGAGAGAGGGGTATGGTGAGAACCTAATGTGTTTTCTTTCCAGGAAATCATTCTAATATTAAAATTGAAACTGCTGTTGGTCCTAAGGTTGACCCTCCAAGAAGAATAAGTTTCAACTAGGATGCTGGAAGCCTTTCTAGGTTTTCTCATTGGTCCTTTGTATTTCCCTTTCAGTGAGTTGTTCCCTCTGAGCTCAGAGGGAAGAACAACGTACCAGTATGCCATGCTTTTATTTTTGGTCACTTGAACCGGGGCTCTGGCTCTCAAGGAGAAGGGTTTTTGGTTGTATGGATTTTTAGTTGGCACAACAGTACCATCCAAACAAATGGGAATGTGCACTGTTAGTTTTCCAAGGTTATATGAGGAAGAGTCCCTGGGATACTTATTATATAAGAAAGTTAAGTTTTATTTGCATAAAAAGATACCACAGAATATGATTACGTAGATGCAAGAACTGTTTCACATTGACCTGGATAAAAGGGATTGTAGCTCTATACTTAGAACATAATGTTTTCTGCTTTGTCTGTTTGTTTTTTTAGTTGATAAAGTCCAGAGCTTGCTGGTTCCTATGAAATTCCCAATACATCACCTGGCCCTGAGCTGTGATAATCTCACACTCTCTGTGTGCATGATGTCTAGCGAATATGGTTCCATTATCGCTTTTTTTGATGTTCGCACATTCTCAAATGAGGTAAGCTACTGGCAAACGGTAATGTCAACATGTGTTCATAATACCACCTGTCTAAAGGTGTTACCATTTCTCATTTACACATGAGACAACCAACCTGGGAGGCTTAGGTGACTTGCCCAAGGCTATAGAGTTAAAAGATGTCAAAAGTTCCTACATTTTGGGTCTCTGGCCTTCTAGCACAGTGTTCTTCTGTTCCAATCAGTTTAAAATGATAATAATTAATAATACTGAGTCAGTAACTCTGAGTGTTTAGTGCTTTATGTGCCTTGTTCATGCCTACCACGGCCTTGCTTAGTAGGTACTGTTATCTTTAATTTATAGATGGAGAAATAGGCTCAAAGAGTTTAAGTAACTGTCCAAAGTTCCAGTTCTTAAGAAGGAAAGAAGCACAGCCAAGACTTTTTGTGTGTTTGGCTAGCTAGTACAGGGATCAAACCTTGGACCTTGTTAT